CTATACCGGGAGAATCATCCTGCACCACATTTGTAGTTCCATTACGATCCTTCAATTTTCAATTTATAACATGCGCTCGCGTTGCGTAAGATTGAGTGGAAAGGATCAAAGGCATAAGCCTCAAAGGAATCGAACCGCACGATAAGGAAATCAAGAAGGGAAGTATTCCTAACAGTCCTGCAGCCTCCCGAGGATAAGTACAGACGTCTCCGTACCGATCCGCGAGACTCTACTAGACTTGCTCATGACTCGTGAGACCAACGGGAACCTAGTGCTCTGATACCATGTTGTCACGACCCAAAATTCACTGAGGGTCGTGGCGCCGGACACCTCTGTCAGGCCAGCCAACTAGATTATCAATTAATTCATCTTTTAATACTTTTGAAAATCTAAGGTTTTTCCTTCCATTTTCATAAATAAAAGTTCACTACTTGAATTCAAATTTAAATAATAACAATTAGTACAAATCTGTTGAAACCTATCCCAGAAACCCGGTGTCACAAGTACATGAGCAACTATCGATAAGGAAAGTAAAATACAACATCTGTCCGAAATACAGTGGACAGGGAATAAATAATAAAATGCTGAAAGGAACTACTCTGGCTGCGGGTCGTCTCGAACAATGCAGCTCACCTAGTCCCAGAGTCGTCCGTGCTGCTACGCCCAATAGGCTGCTAGAGGTATAAATACCTGTGCAACAAAAATGCACAGAAGTGTAGTATGAGTACGTAATCAACGTGTACTCAGTGAGTATCCCGCCTAATCCCGAAGGGGTAGAGACGAGATGGCCAACTCCGACACTCACTAGAGGTCAATTAGCAATGTTCTATAAGTGCAAGGAAAATCATGGATTTGTATAGAAGTTCTGATTGTGAAGCCAGAAAAACAGGTAACCACCTTCAACAATAAATCCAGGGCTTCTAAGGTTTGTTCTTTATTATCTTATCAATTTATATCATGCCATGTAGGGCCAATTCCACATTTAAGATTTTCAAGTAACAGATAAACACGCGCAAATGCCGAGGTCGACGGCCCGCTCCAACAGAAATGTAAATTGTGCACTGTCAAGGGTCGAGCGGCACGAACCATAGATGCATCTATTCTCACCGAGGCGTTCGGCCCGTTCCATAAATAAATACATATCTTGCTCGCGAATCATCCATGCGACGCAGGCACACATAAAATACATGCTCAAGTAGGAAATTAAGAGTTTATCGAGGATAATCATCCAAATAGACAAGTTTCTCTTTTTTAACATTTCAGGGAAAATTAATATTAAATCTCTTTTTAAATTCCTTTTCCGATTCAAGGTGATTTAAATAATTCCCCTATCAATGGGTTCACAGTAATCCAAGTATAACATGCTTTTTGGGTTCTAGACTACCCGGACAATAGCATAATAGTAGCTACGCACGGACTCTCGCCACCTCGTGCGTACGTAGCCCCCACAAATAGGAGCACATGCTCAATTTAACTCACCTATGGGTAGTTTTCCCCTCACAAGATTAGAAAGGAGACTCACCTCGCTCCGAAGACTTATAACCGGCATTTTACATTCTTCCGAAGGCTTGAACCGACGCCCAATGCCCCAAAACTAGCCATTTAACGACAAACTAATGAGAACATGCTCAAATACTCGTTAACATTTCAAATTATACAAATTCCCAACTCCGCTTAGAAAAATGACCAAAATGCCCTCGGGCCCACGTGCCCGGAATCTGAAATTTTTCGAAGATAAAGATTACCCATGACCTTAGGAACTCAAATATAAAATTTTCTCTTAATTCCATACTCAAAATCGTGGCTAAAATCCAAGATTATAATTTTCTAGGTTTTCAACCAAAACCTCAATATTTACTCTAATTTCCATGCTTAAACCCATATATAATTGATATATTCAACTCAAAAGTGATGGGGATAACTTAGCTCAACATTGACGACAAAACCCTCGCTTGAAACTCCCCAAAAATCGCCCAAGCCATGAAGAAATGGGAGAAATGAACTCAATCCCACGATTTAAAACAAGGTTCTGCTTTCAGTCATTTCCGCTTCTGCGGAAGCCATGCCGCATCAACGGTTCCGCTTATGCGGTTCGAAGGCCGCTTCTGCAGCTCCTTCCCATGCCGCCTTTTCTCGCTTCTGCGATGCCCCTTCCGCAGATATGGTTCCGCTTCTGCGGAATTTCGACCGCATCTGCGGTCCTCAAGCTTTGGACCAAAAACCGCATCTGCGGCTCCCCGTTTGCTTCTGCGGTGCCGCTTCTGCGGTCAACCAACTGCAGAAGCGAAAACAAGCAACCAGATGCCTTCAGCTCTCTTCCAAATTCCAATTTCGATCCGTTAACCACCCGGAATCCACCCGAGGCCCCCGGGACCCCAACCAACCATACCAACCAGTCCCAAAACACATTACGGACTTGCTCGAGGCCTCAAATCATAACAAACAACGCTAAAACCGTGAATTACACCCCGATTCAAGCTTTATGAACTTTGAACTTTCCAACTTCTATTTCCGATGTTTAAACCTATCAAATCACGTCCGATTGACCTCAAATTTTGCACACCAATCATATTTGACATTACAGACCTACTCCAACTTTCGGAATTGGATTCCGACCCCGATATCAAAAAGTCAACCTCCGGTCAAACTTCCCAAAAACCTTCAACTTTCTATCTTTAGCCAAATGGCTTCAAAATGACCTACGGACCTCCGAATTCACTTCCGATCGCGCTCCCAACTCCAGAATCACCATACGGAGCTATTCCCAGACTCGAAATCCCAAACGGACATCGATAACACTGAAATGCACTTCAAGCCAAACTTAAGAAATTCCTTCTAAAATGCTAACTTCCACATTAGGGGCCAAAACGCTCCCGGGTTATCCAAAACCCGATCCGGGCATACGCCCAAGTCCGAAATCATCATACGAACCTGCTGGAATCTTCAGATCCCGATTCCGAGGTCGTTTACTCAAAATTCCAATCCTAGTTCATTCTTTCAACTTTAAGCTTCCGAAATGAGGATTCTCTTCCCAAATCAACTCCGAACTTCCCGAAATTCAATTCCGACCACTCGTACAAGTCATAATACCGGAAATGAAGCCGTTCATGGCCTCCGACTGCTGAACGTAGCGCTAGCACGGGAAACGACCGGTCGGGTCGTTACATTACTAAACAAAAACTTCAGCTCTAAAGCTGAAGTTTTTATTTTATAACTGGCAAACTTCAGCTCTAGAGCTGAAGTTTCCCGGTTACTAAACAAAAACTTATAAAATAAAACTTCAGCTCTAGAGCTGAAGTTTTTATTTTATAACTGGCAACTTCAGCTCTAGAGCTGAAGTTCGCGAGTTAAAAAAAAAAACTTCAGCTCTAGAGCTGAACTTCAGGCCCGGCTACTAAAATGCTGAAGTTTTGTGTAATTGCCTTTGCTACTTCAGCCCCGTGTGCTGAAGCTATGTGAAAAAGCGGGTACGCTTGTAATTTTTTTTGCAAAGCGGGCACAGGTTAAAATGTGGCACAAAAAGCGAGTATAGATGCAAATACCCCCAGTAATTTGCGGCGAGGGACCGGAGGAGCAGAAAAAAAATAGCCCTTATTATTATTTTTAGGCTATAACTTGTATAGGGTCATTTTGTGGCTACCGGGTGATATAAGCTCCGACCGAGTGGCTACAAATGAATTTTGCTCAAAAGTAAAAGTAGAATAGAAGAATTTACTTAAATAGCAGCCCACTCAATTCCTTTTTTTTATTTTTTTATTTTTTAAGATCCAGCTTACCTTTTATTTTTTAAACAAGAAAAGCTGTCATTCCTGTCTTTCAGAATTTAAAGATAATACTAATCATAGGAAATTGAGATCAACCTCCCACTCAATTACTTAAATAAGAAATAACCGACGAATATCTCTCTCTCTATAATCTATGTATAGTATTTGTATAATCATATGTAATTAATGTATAATTTATGTATAGTAAATAATAAAACTGGTTTGCAATTTGCGGGGATTTGCATCTATACTCAATTTTTAGGTCACCTTTTAACTTATACAGCTTCGCAAAAAAAATTGTAAGCATACTCACTTTTCGGGTAACTTCAGACATACGGGCCTGAAGTAACAAAAATTTATGTCTGAAGTTTGAACTTCAGAATGTTTTGCCTGAAGTGTAGCCTTATCAAAGCAAAACTTTAGATATTTTTGCTTGAAGTTTGGCCTAACTTGTAAAGGCAATAAAACTACATCATGTTTTGGCTGAAGTTTTTATTTTGTAATTGCTGAACTCCAGTATTCTAGGAGCTAAAGTTTTATATTTATTTGTTGAACTTTAGCATTCTTAGAGTTAAAATTCCGTTATGCTTTTCTTCGAAGTTAGATGGCCTTACGTCAAAAAAGAAGCAGGAAACAATTGGTTCTTTGACTTTTGATGTCATAGACGCATCTCCTGCTAGACAAGTAATTGGAAGTTCCAGTCAAGTGGCGTCGAAAGATTGTGAGTCTTCAGTCGAAATATCACAAAATAAATAAGATGTAAAAGTGCAGTTACATCTGCATTTTTGTAGAGTGCTATAGTTTATGGCGGAGGCTTCAGTTCACTTTGAAAACTTAGTTCAGGCTCAATTAATAGTAAAAAAATAAAGCTGTCATAACTCACAATTGTAAAAACATCATAAACTACATTAAAATATATTCACAATCACGATATAAAATCATTGTCACCCAAAGAAGAAAGAAGAAGAAGAAAACGAAGGAGGAGAAAGAGGACAGAATTTATTTAAAAAGTGAGTATAAGTTAAAACAATTAAAAGAAAAATAGGTATAGGTTAAATAGGGTGACCAAATAGGACGCCCCGTGCAATTTCTGCGCTATTTGCATAAAGATCCCAATAGAATAAAGGGATACAAATACACAATTACCTTTATCAAGAGAAAAATAATCTAATGGGCTCAGAACAGGAAATCTCAAACTTAGGCCCTATATAAACTACAAAAAGGCCAGTGTTAGACAAGCCTTAAACTACAGGCCCACCAAAACTTCGTTCTTCTAAAACCCTAGCGATTTCACCAGTTATTGTTGTATGGTTATATAGGAGAAAACTCCCTTCATTACCGCCGTCGACGCATTTGCCTCTTCCTATAATTTCCGACTACATTTCTCCAGGCCAGAGCCAACCATGGTTGCTGCAAAGAAAACCGTAAGAATCTCTTGATATATCTATATTTTTTTTTGTATGTGTGTGTGTGATTTGGTTGATCTGAGAAGCATTTGTTTTTCGTGTATTGTTAATTGCAGAAGAAGACTCATGAGAGTATTAACAACAGGCTGGCTCTGGTAATGAAGAGCGGCAAATACACATTGGGATACAAGACTGTTCTCAAAACTCTTAGAAACTCCAAAGGTACACTTAGTCAACTCTCTATGCTCTTATTTTAGGCAAAAATGTGTTTTGTTTTTTAAGGTGGTTAAAACCATGATCTTCAGCTGAATATTGTGCATTTTTTTAGCTAGTTGTTGAGTACGAGTAGATTAGTTAATTCTGTTCTGTAGATTGAATAAATTTGTCTATGATCAAATTGCATTGTTGAAATATTACCTCCGTCCAAAAGAGAATGACAGGTTAGAAATACGATAATACATCTAATTTTAGTATCATATTATCTTCGATTGAAGTGCAGATTGCTCATTTTTATGTTGGTGGTAGTGTTGAACTAGCTTCAATTAAGATAATACTAGCTGACTCATTTAAGGAGAAGTCAGTGTTTTGGCAGTGTCGGTACTGGATTCATAGTATGCTTGTCTGATTCTGTCACATGCATACTCAGTGTGTATGTGTGTGTGTCTTTTAAATTAGGGAACTTAAAAGATGAAAGATTAAGAAGAGTTAAAAAGAATTAGAGAGTATTCCGGAAAAAAAAACTTTGTTGTGATGACAATGTTGATTAAAAATATTGATTCAGAGGAAGGCCAGTGCATGTACTTTTTAGTCATTTGCTTTTATTCGTGAGAGGCGTTTGTTTTGGAGAAGGGTTGCTATGAGTTTTATAGGGAAAGGATCTTAGGTTACTGGTTATGGATTTTGACTGTTAAGAGAGGTAGTTAACTTGCCTGTGATGTAACTGGGTTGTACATTCTGGTTTTCATATTGCAGGCAAACTCGTCATCATTGCCAACAACTGCCCTCCTCTCAGGAAGTCTGAGATAGAGTACTATGCTATGTTGGCAAAGATTGGAGTCCACCACTACAATGGAAGTGAGTTTTCTTGTCTATGTGCTCTTAGTTGTCTAAATGCTGCCTTTAATGCCTCCTTCTGTCCTTCCCCTGTATGGGTGTTATGAACTAATTTGCTTCTGTTTGTATGTTTCCATGTTAATTAGAAGTGTCTTTTTGTTTAGAGTTTAGCCCTGATCCCACTTGTGGGATTACACGGGGTATGTTGTTGTTGTTGTTGAATGTATCTTATATTTGTTCAAGTCATGGAAAATGTTACACTCATATTTCCTTTGTAACAGTGGTCAGCTTATCAAAGGCCTTATAGTGTTATCATATTTGGAATGCCTACATCATAAGTTTTGTTGCTGGATTGATTGAATGGTATTATGTCTAAGATTGAACAACTAGGAGATGCATTGCAACAAAAAAAAAATAAGCCTTGTTAGATGAGATGGTTAAATGTGAGTTTGTTGGGTATAGGATTGACTAACAAACTAATGGTCTGATCCATAAATCAAAATAGTGTTTGGAATGTTGCTTTCTGTAAGCTTAGTATCATGCATATGAATATCTATGTTTTCTTTGGCCACTTCTCTCGTCTTACATGTATTGTTTTATTCTTATAGCTTGAAATTCAATCAATTAAAGAAGAAAAATAATAGAAATTGAGTTTCTTTCCAGGTTTCATAGAGTCGATAGAAAACTGCATTTGTTTGTGGAGCATTCTTAGCATATTGTTCTTTGCAAGTCCTTGAATAACTTTAGCTACCATAGCTCTTGATTGTGGTTGCTATATTTGCGATCAAGTTCTTTAGATTGGAATTATTGCTACAGTTATGTCTTGTAGATTCATGGTTCTTCCACTAAATATCTCTTCTTGTTTCAGACAATGTAGATTTGGGGACTGCATGTGGTAAGTATTTCAGAGTCTGTTGCCTCAGCATCATTGATCCAGGTATGCTTATGCTCTTGATTGTTCAATTAGTGTTGGTTAAACATGGATTTTTGTTTTGACGTTTAAAGTACTTTCTGTTTCTCCCACTCAGGTGATTCTGATATCATTAAGAGCATGCCTGGTGATCAGTGAGATAGCAGCTGATGTTAGATCGCTCTAATGGACACTGCTCAATCTTAGTGGAACTTTGCCGTTTTTCCTTATTGAGAAAAATATCTAGTGTAGATGAGTTTTGCTACTGTGGTGATGTTAAAGGAAGTTTTGATGGTATTTGGAATCTTAACGACATCAATTTTTTAACCCTGAGTTTTGAATCTTCTAATTGACTATCATTTGTTGCTTGAGTTCTGCATGCTGCACTATCAAATTCCTGAGCTATTTCTTTGATCTATAACACATACCTTCAGTAAGAATTTCTAACCTGGTTGGTTCCCCTGCTAGGACCTAAAGAAAGAGCAAACTCTTCTGAGCCATTACAAAACTGCCTATATTGTATTTGAGGATGTTATATCTTGGTTGTCGTACAGAACCAATATGGCCAATCCAGGGATTTTTTGGTGATGTCTCATCATTAATTGATACTGATCTTTACATTTTTGTGGATGTTTAGTATTCTTTTAGTCAATATGGAAGTTTAGATGTTGAAATACTGTTTAAATGGAAAGGCACCATTTGGTGCTTCTATTGATTTGATATAAACATTGGGCGTTAACGTTATAAATTATTGAACTTGAAAATATTTAAGAAAGCTTTAAACTTAAAATTGTCGTCTCAAATCTTAAAAGTATCTCAATAAATTGGGGGGGGGGGGGGGGGGTTGACGATAAGCTCATTGACCCAAAGTATCCACTTTTGGTGATTAGCTCGGGAGAACAGTTGTGTTTGGTACGAAGAAAAATATTTTTTTTAAAAATGAGTGTTTTTGTCACTTATTTTTCCTTGTTTGGTTGGTGAATGAAATTTTTTTACGAAAATATTTTCTAGTGTTTGGTTAAAGAGTAGAAAATATATTTTAAAAAAATAATTTTTTATGTTATTCTTCTCACCCCCTTTTTCCATATTTCCTGTGCTTCCCCCTCCTTCCACCTCCTTCCCCCTCCCAAATACCCAGCATTTTCATGATTCTATTATTTCAAGAATTTAATTATATTTCTAATAACTTACACAAATCGAAAGGATCCTAATATGTAACTTTACTTCTTTACGCAAAAACAACGTTGAAATTTGTGTTCCATAACTAAAAAGAAAATACTCTTTTTTAGTTGAAAAAGAAAATACTCTTTCTACAACATGAAAATAAAGTACTCATTTTGTTGACATGAAAGAAAATACTTTTTCTACATCACGAAAAAAAAATTCTTTTGTTGAAACGAAAGAAAATAGTTTTTACTATATCATTTTGTTGAAATGAAAGAAATACTTTTCAATATATTATTTTATTAAAATAAAAGAAAATATTTTTTTCTACATCATGAAAAGAAAGTAATCATGAGTATATAATTTTTTTATATCACGAAAAGAAAAATACTCATTAGTTGAAATAAAAAAAAAATACTTTGTCTGTAACATGAAAAGAAAGTACTATTAATAATATTTCTATTTAGGGTGAAGGGTGGGGTGGGGGTGGGGCAGGGGTTAGGGGGGTAAGTTGGTTGGGGTTGGTGAGGATGGGGAATAGGGTGGAGAAGGTTGAAAAAAAATTTTGGAAAATATTTCCCTTCTTTTGATAGAAAAAATATTTTTGTTCAATTAGAGGAAAAAAAATTCTTGAAAAAAACATTTTCTAAAATATTTAAGTCGGAAAATTAAAAAATATTTTTCTTGGTATCAAACACACCCATAATATCATATGATATGGCATATCTGACCTGGGGAGGTGTCGACTTGATTGGATGAGCCGTCTCACATAACTATGTATTGATAATTTTTACCCACCACTTTGGAAAAACATCACTTAGCAAACACTGCTTTGTCAGAATTCTTTACTAGATATGTATAAGAAAAATAAAAGTATTAAGGATAAATATAAAAATGATACCACTTACTATTATAATAATTTATTCATTTATGGTAGTTCTTCAAATTGTGACACCACTTATAAAATATCTCGAGTATGCCATTATTTACAACCATGGCACTAAAGCCAATTGATTCACTCAATGAAGCGGAACTTTCCATTTCTTTTAGAGCTGGACCGAAATAATTTAAACGTCTTGCATTTTATCTGTGGAAAAGTCAGTCCATATTTATATTCTATTCTACATATATAGAAGCCGCTTGGGAACAGGTCAGGGTCGTCATGCCTGCTTACCAAGGGCTACTTTGGTCTTTTACAAAAATTTTGCTGAAAATATATAGAAGCCGCTTGGGAAGCAGGTCAGGGTCGTCATGCCTGCTTACCAAGGGCTACTTTGGTCTTTTACAAAAATTTTGCTGAAAATTACACATGTAGAGAAACTTGACGGGTGGTGTGATGTGAGAACTCCCCGCTGCATATATGTCAGCAAGAAAGAGGATGAACAAAGACAGATTATTTTTTTCTCTGCTTCATCTTCAGATTTCAGTTTTATCTTAAATTGATCGATTTTGCTGCTACTTTCGAGATCACCGGTTAATCGAAGGTCAGTGACTTTCCTCCCAAGGTTTAATCACCAAGAGATCTGTAAAATCTCAATGCTAAAGCGTGTTTTAGGGACGCTTCTTCTGCTGATTTTGTGTGGGAATCTAAGCTGCCTTTGAATTTTCTTGAAAGATAGAATTTGTTTGATAGGAAAATAAGAAAAGTTATGTTGAAAATGATTGAACAAAATTTAGGTGAAATGGGTTTGTCTATTTTAAAGGAAATACCTATGGCATATGCGTTTTCTGATAAAATTTTTTGTATAATTGTTGAGATAGGAACAGATAATCTGAAGTTTTATATTTTGTTTTAAAGATGAGTTTTAATATCATCTTTTATTTTTCTGTTTCACTTTGCTCTATAAGTGTTTGACAAAATTCTTCAATGAATCAGGCCTTTGACTAGACTTTTATTATTATCTTTCGATTAAGTTGTTGCTTTCCATAGAAAGAAGGGGCTGGTAATTTGAGTTTAGGTATATCATGAGGGTTGACGATTCCATATTCCGCCAATTGGTTTGCAGATGTGCTTGATTTTCGCTATTAAGAATTCATTTTCATGGTTCAGCAGTAAACTCTTTTGCCCAGGCAGAATCTGGAGTGGTTAAGCTTTTTTCGGTTTGGTGAGTTTTTCCAAAATAAAAATATGTAAACAATTCAAATTAGAAAGGAGCTTCACTCAATTTGACAATATTAATTTTGTAAAGTCTTCCAAAATATAGATGTATCTAAATTACTCGTAATTTTTACTAATAGCTAACACGTCTAGAGTAACTCTGACACGTGTTGCATTTCTGCAAGAGCTTGTTTCTACAACTTGAACCCCTGACTCCTCGTCATGCAATAATAACTCTTACCATTACTATATGATGGTCTTAAAAAAATTATCTGGAGTCAGTTTATGCACGAAATCATTTGAGGTTATATTGTCGTTAAGTAATAAAATTGAAGTAAGAATATTAAATATTATTAAAGTGATAAAATTTATCTAAAAGACCTAAATTAAATAAATTCAATACTTAAGAATCACAATACTAACTTTACATCCATAGTTTCGTCCCTTTTTAGTGCCGAGAACTTAATTTGTCGGTGAATTGCATTTTTCAGAAAATTAACATATAATACAATATTTAGCAATAAATTAAACCGAATAGCTTTGTGACTTTATTAATGTAATGGGTAAAACTTAAGGATTTTAAAGATATAAAACATATTTTAATAACTTTACTGATGCAAGGATAAATTCAATTGCCATGGGTGAAATTACCCTCAAATAGTCATTTGAAATTTTTCATAATTTATCAGTTAAGTGGACATAGCCCTGCCCCTTTAGCGTATACGATGAAATTCAAAACCTGTGATTTTTGTCACATATTCATTTGGAACATTTATTTCGTAAACGTTCGTTCAACATGCATCACTATATTTAATATTTTTATGCAGAGAAATTTAAAGGAGAAGGTTAGCAATTTGAGAGAAAAATTAGGAGTATTTAAAGTTAAAATTTAAGTAAATTTTATGGCGGGTCAAGTTATTATTCTTTGTTTTATTACTTAAAAAAAATTCACTTATTACAAAAATAATTTTGACTGGTTTTTGTAGAAATTCACCCGAAATGTGAGAGAAAATGACAAAAGTGATCCTTATATTTGAGGGTAAGTTCAAAATGGACCCCTAAATATGCTCCTTCGCCCTTTTGATCCCATAAGGTTGTCAAAAGTGAGTACTTTTGGTTTCATCGAGTATTTAATAAACTATAAATTATTATTTTAATAAAAACTGCGAAAAAGAGAGATTTTATATGGAATCACATTTAGAAATGTGTTCTTTACAATTTCAGCTTTTTTTTGCTTATTGTGGAATCTAATGTAGATTTTTAAGGTGCAATCACTGCTATTTTAAAATATATTTCTAGTGTCATGTATAATTTTTGATTTTGCGACTTCTAGATTTGACAAGTCTATCCTATCGTATTTAGACTAACTTGCATTAGGTATAGGATAACTGGATTTTATTTTTTATAATTAATTATGTGGCCTGAAGAACTGAAATTCATGTATCATTAAATTGTTGACTCATTTTTAAGGCTAATATAGGTTGGTGGCATTAAAGTCCATTGTGATGATTGGTGAATTTGCGCACATTCATTGGTTCGACTTTCAGACAATTCGATCAATTTTTTTATCGCTTAAAGGATCAAATGCTAATTAATTAATTTAATCTTCAAAGGATATGATCTGGTTATATTGCAAAAGGAGGATAAAAACTAAAATTTGTCATTGTTGTTTTTTGTTTACTTTTATCTGAATTTCACACTTATAATCTGTTTGTAGTAGTAACTCCATGTTTATGGTGGTAGAGCACATATGTGCTTAAACATTTTGGTTCGCCAGTTACTATATTGGTATTTCTAGTTTATTTTTTAAGTTTTTATTATAGCTAAGGGCCTTCGTACTCACTTTGGCAACCTTATCTATATCTATATCTATCTATCTATCTATACTATATTAAAAGCACGAAGGCCCTTAGCGTAATGTCGTTCGCTTTTTTTACCCTTTAAAAATATATTTTTACACTGGACAAAATAGTCATTTGATTATTTTCCTAATATTTAGGAGTTTTAAATCAACTAAATATTTGACATTATATTCCTAATTTTTAGGACTTCATAATTGACTAAAATTTTGAACATTAAATATTTCCTTATTTTGGACTTCTATTTAATAGGTCCTAAATGGGGGTGTTCACGGTTTGACGGAAAACCGATCCAAACCGAAAACCGAACCAAACCGATTAAGTAAACCGATATTTTTTTTGATTTGGATTGGTTTTGGTTTTAAATTTTAAAAACCGATAATATTTGGTTTGGTTTTGGTTCTATTTTAAAAAACTGAAAAATAAACCGAACCAAACCGATTAATTATATATAAAATTTAATAATTATTTATATACAATATAATATCTTTTTGTTAATAATTTTAATTGTTATTTTGAAGTTTTTTTTAATAATAAAACGAGATGAGCCTCGCTAAACAAAACAAACAAATTGCGGGGCCCTCGATAAATGTTTATACAAACAATACTTAGACTTCGGGATGGGCCATTTAGCGCATTTCACGGCTTTCCCCAAAGAAATAATGCGTTAGCTTCTTTAAGCGCTTCTTTTAATAACATTACCTTCCTAAACTCGGGTGCGCATTTATGTGACCCAAATCCGAATCTCAACGAAGTCATTATGTGTCAAAAATCGCGGGTGTATTTATGTGACGCGGTACGACACATATTTTCACGACGTTGCAATCCTCTTTAAAATAATAATAATAAAAGCGGTTAAAAAGCACATAGACTAAAACATGTTGTAAAATCAGATAAATAAGCCAAATATGACAGTTGAGCGACCNGAATAGATAACAACTTGCTTCGTTAACTAATGGAAGATTCATTATTTATGTCCTAATTTTAGTGGAAAAGTATTTAACTTTCAACTAATCTATATGATCTATGTTTACTATTAACGGGGAAAACAGGAAGCTCGAACAATTAATATTGTCATTACAATTAGTGAAAAGTAAATGTTAAATAAAATTATAATTATACAATTTATATTTTAAAATTGTTTTTGGATCTATTTCCTTTTCACAATGAAAAAGGGTTATGTAATTTGATTTCTCAGTGGTCAACAACACTTTAGTCGAAAAAAGAAGACAAAATCTTGTTCAAGTAGGAATCAGCTAAAGATTCAAGAATAAGAAGAAAAGCCACATTCCTTAGTAAATTCGGATACGGTTTCTTACTTTTCGTACCTATATATAAACAAGTCTAATGCAAATATACATGAACATATCAAGAAGAAACAAACAATTATTTTCTACTCTATTTTTGCAGCTGAAGTAGAAAAATAATGGTTAGATTGGGAAAAAAAACTTCGATATTCCCTGCTAAGGAGCCGCTATTTCCTAAATTTAATATCAAGGGTAACGACGGTCGTTATAGTCGGAATAGGCGATATCGTAGTGAAAAAGTTTGCCTTGTTATCACGGGCACCATTTTCCTAGCTGTTGCCGTACCTAATTTAATTTTATTTTTCGGTATGTTCTTTAATTAGTTCGTTTTGTAGTTTCTTTTGTTTTTAGCTTGTAGGATTGGAAGGAATTTGATTTATGTAAAGATTAATTGATTTATTTATTTATTTAGCACTTCAGTTTAATTTACTGTAAAGGTTTATCAAAGTTTCAATGTCTTGATTATCAAAAGCATTGTGTATCTCGAGCTCGAAATCTTTTGTTCTTGTTACAAAGTTTTATAATGGAATTTGAAATCTCGATTACTTGATAGATATTGGAGGGTTTCGCACAGAGGCAGAGCCATAATTTTGACTTTATAGGTTTTGAATTTTTTAACAATGATTTCATGCGGTAATAACTCGATTGAACCCAAACTCTGACTTCTAGCTCCGCCACTGATTTCGCCGCAAATCCAAACGATTTCTATCTTCCCTTATTAAGATATTTCCTGTTATTAGGAGTTAATCGAGAAGGATCCATTTATTATGAATCTTAAATTAAGAAGGCTTTCAAATATTCCAAAAATTGAATCGGTCCCAAACGTTGGAGATAAATAGTCCATTCCTAAAGTTTTTCTTTCCGCAAAATTTACGAAACTTTAGGTTTAGTCTTTGCCCTTTTAGCTTCCCACTTTTTTGCTATATATATAATGGTGTTTAAGAGCCTCGTTATCATAGTTAAATTAATATAGAGGAGAAATTAAAAAAAATAATGCACGACTTGGTTGTTGTATATCATATTACGAGCATAGGATCCTTGAGGTCTTCTCTGGGTGAATTATGGAAATCGAGCAAGAGAATCCTTTTATCAATATAAGATGTCATTTTGCCCTTTATGACTAAAAAATAATGGTTGACGAAATCCGCAACTAAACTGTATTAACATCTAGTGCTAATCGTATTAGCACCAGATTAGTAGATATTTTGACTCTTATAAAAGCTATAATCGCTAACTTTAGAAAATAGACTTTATTTTCCCAAGGATAAAATATGCAACATTTTGAATTTGAACTGCAGTTTGAAATAATATATTCAAGAAAAAAGCTATTGCACGGGAATAATTTAATTTGTAGTCAAGAGATCACAATTCGAACTATAGTATTCAGAGATTGTTTATTTTCCTTCAATCCTAACAATATTATTTTTTTTAAGAAAATAAAGAAAGCAATTTTCGTTGTTAGAACCAACTGAAGAACGTGATTTCCAAAAAAAATTGCCTTGACAAACTCTGTCAAATTGAAAAAAATTAATTTTCAGAGGGCTATGGGAAAGCGGAAGCTTCCCTAACCCTAACGGAGATTTCTTTTGTCAAAACATTCTAATAGATTGAGGTTTTTCATTCAACCTCACAAAACATTCTAAAAGTGTAACAAGACTAATTTTTTCATATACCTGAATTCTTTATATTAGAACAGTCTTCCGTCAACTTCTGACATTTGCTATGATTTATGTATCCTAACTGCAGGTATTCAGCAGGTTATAGCATGTTTCACTTTTGCATAACAGACAACGAGCATGATTGGATAAAGGGATCTGAGCAATATAGTTTTATTGAACATTGTCTTGCATCAGTAGATAAACAGAAGCAGCCTTGGCTGATTTTTTCGGCTCATCGGGTTATGGCATAGGAAGCTTTGCAAGGGTGTTACCTGAGTATTCTTGTAATTACACAGTATTTTTTTCAAACGAAAACACGCCATAACTTAAAGTGTTGGGCCCGTGCTTGCACGGGCCAATCCCATGTAGTACTATATACTATATAGAAGCCGCTTGGGAAGCAGTTGGGAGTCGTCATGCCTGCTTACAAAGGGCACTTTGGTCATTTCAAATTAATTTTTAAATTTATCTTACGCAGGAGTAAGTTATACTCTATGTTGCACATGCTGTACTTTGGAGAGAAAGTTTCCCAAATTGCATAAAAGTACCACACGGTGAATCTAAATCATCCCCTTTTCTTCTCTCTTGGCACAATTCCTACAATCAGTAGTATCTTTTGGAGTTGTCTTTGATTTAAATTATTATTTTCTTGTATTCCCTGTACAACCATCTTCTCTTGCTGTGGAGTAACCCCTTCACCAGGTATCAAAGTTGATGCTTGTGATTCCTAAAGATTCTTTGTTTCTTCGAATTTGAATTCTCTGAGTTTGTATTTCTTCTTCTTAAAATTTTCTCTGTTTCTCAATTTGGGTCTCTCTTTATTTGTTCTTTTGCTCTACTTCTAAGATTTGATCACTGCGTTTGGAGGTAATTAATTCTCTTCTTCTTCTTCGTGCGTTGCTTCTGGGTTAAATAAGTCTAAGGAATCACCAATTGTTTGCTAGATTTCAATTTTTTTTAGGCAGCTTTGCTTTCAGTTTGCCTGCTAGGTGTTTGTGAAATTGCCTTCTAAAAATTTTAGTTTTGCACACAAAGAGGGTGAGATGAGAATCAAGGTATTAAGGGATGAAAAGACTGTTAGCTTCCATGATGATGAAACCATAGTGATTTGCTTTTTGCTTAAAAGAATGTTGATATTTGAATAAATGAAGTCTGCTCTTCAAAATATGTACTTTCCAGTAGCATCAAAGAAAGGAGGAGGGGCACGTGAAATCTCATTGCTATTCTTTTCTAAGGATTGGCGTGCATAGTAAGCACGATATTTAGATGCACTTACCACAAAATAAAAAAAGGGACATTGACCATCGTAGAAAAGCTATTTGTGAAGAACTCCTCGGATTAAATCCTGATATAATTTGCCTACAAGTAGTTACAATTGCCTCTTGCTTATTGGCATGTTTAAATATGTCCATACTTTAGATATGAAACTGATTGAAGAATTTTATTGATGTGATTGAATAGGAGATGGATAAGTATTATGATCTACTAAACATGTTGAAGAAAGTTGGATATCTCCAAGGTGCACAGACAGAAATGCTGCTTAGTAGTCTCAAACTTGCAACAGTCACTCTCAAGCTACAGAAGATAATAAGAAGGCTGTTTTATGAGTTAGTCAGGATGATTTGGCGTATCGAGAATGATGGGTGATGGAGACTGTGTGAATGGTTTATGTTTGGAAACTTCGCGGAATTATCTTCTTGGAGTAACTTTTATATACAGGATTTCAATGGCAAGGGCCAAGGGGTGATCAAATCCATCTGCTTATTTTACTCGAGGAATTACCAAGTCTTATGGCTGCATAAAATGGCAGAAACGATATGCAGCAGTTACAATCATTTGTCACTGCGAAACGACGTTTAAAGGTTTATGCCAAAGCTTTGCATTTATTATTGAATTTTAAATGTTTGATTTTGCACTCAAGACCGCTCCTCTCTTGGATATGTGCAGTTTGATCAGAAATTTGATTGCTAAAAATGACCACTTCTACAAATAGATGCTAAGCATACACACACATAAAAAAAAAAAAAAATTGTGATATCTGCAATATTATCTTCTAGCTAGAAAGCTTGAAATGGAACAATGATTCTTTTCTTTGTTTTTTTTTTTTTTAAATGTTATTTCTTAATTTCAATATAATCATCCTTCCTTTTTTCTGATTTTCATGCTTTGTTTTCCTTTCACATCTTTCTTCTTTTTCTTGAAACAGGAATCAGAAATAGCTAGGTCGTCAAAGATTAAGGATTAGTCTAAGGATTCCAATGTTGTCTTAACTCGTGAAAAATGATTGAATGCGATGTCCCAAGATGAAGATTACAATAATGAAAAATGAATAGGTCCCTACATAAAATGTACAAAATCTGTTGACATACAGAATATGAAATGTGCTTTATCACACCTGGAATACCTTTTTCAAGACTTTTGGTAATTCTAGCTTTTTTCCTATCTTTATGCAGTAATTTATGATAAATGTTCAATCACTCATGAGCCACGAGAGCTCCTCATATGTTTAGGAGACTGATTGTAATCTAAATTTATTCTCAAACATATATTCTACCTTAAAATGTTTTGAATGTGAATGTTTAACATATTTGTAGATAGAACTTCGATTGATATAATTGGATATCTTTTGCTGATGTTAAAATTCTTCCCAAGGCTGATGAGTTGCAGAACGCAATAGAGGAACAACAGAAGAATTTGGTTGAAGAGATCAGGAATGCAGTTGATGATCATATAAGAGTAGGCTGGAGGATGCTATTGGAGGTCCTGAAGTAATGGCTCTGAATTAGCGAGTGAATTACGACTATGCTCCGTGATTATAACTTTATTCTTTCATACATCAGCTAACTGTAGCAACAGATCTCCTAATGCAGTACCTAAATTCAAGTCTTTAACTGCTATAGCTTTTGTATGATGCATATGCTACTTCATATTAGAGGATTTATATCTCAGTAACTAGCTAACTGCTTAGAGTGCAATGCTAATATTGCACAAAAGTACCAGTAGTCGAAGAGGCATTTGCTTCTTCGTAACAGTTTCTTTTAAGTTATACTAGGTTTTCTTTGATCGTCAGTAAAGTTTAACACTTTCGAAGTTGTTCAGAGTCAAGTTAATGACTTCTGGCAATGTGAGCTTTATCCTTACAAGTATAGGATAAGTTGGGTTCATTTTGGTTTGGTGCTATCAATGTTGAAGGCATAATCCAACTGTCTGCAAGGATCATGTTTGGTAGGGTCAAGGTGCTGTGAAGCCTTACTTAGAATGGAGCATGAGAAATAGCATATCCCATTATGTTGCACATGTAGCTTTAAGTGTTATCGCCTCGCATCTTAGACACACTTTTCACCTACATGCACCACATGTCTAAGAATGTTCAGATCTTTAACAATATCAATATAGAATACTATTTATTGTCTTCCTGAGTCTCAGTATATATAATTTTTCGTTGTCCTTGAATCCTGACATTCATATATAAAACACAGTATAGTACAAAATATTTATATAGAAGAGCCTTGGAAGCAGCTGGGCGTTGTCTTGCCGACCAAGGACTGTTTTGTCAATTCATTATATATCAAATAATTTTACTGGTCTAAAGAGAATATCACTGTAGCTTGATGGTATATATTTTTGGTAGCTTCACTATTTTAACCCTCGCCATTCAAAAGCTACAACAGATATAATAATTACACCCTGCCCCATCACGTGGTTAATTTGCAGGTCACTGCTACCCCTAGGTGTAGCATTTATTATTTCACATTCTATTTAACACTTACGTTAATTATGCACCTTTGGGGTCCTTTTTGGTAAAGTGATAAATGGCGATCTTTACGTATTCACCTTTGCCCGTCTTTCGTTAGTTTATTACATGAGTTGCCCTTATACACTTTGGTAAATAAAACAAACTTTGAAGACGTTCCTGGAAAAGATGATGATTTTAGGATCACGTGCCTAACACATATCCTGTAGCCTTCTTTATTAGCTTTGATGAACTCCAGCCATCTTCCTGGAGAAAATAGTACTGCACACTTTTTGAAACTAATAAATGTTCCTGAAGAGATTCATTTTTGACAGAGAAAAGAGAACGTTATTATTTTGTTTTTTCCGTATCTAATGAATTTATTCATCTATTTTGGCTCCTTAATCACTACAAGTGAATTTACATACTCAAGATAATTTAACCATGGCATTTTTTCCATTATAATTTGTCTTTTTTGACTAAAAATTTAAAAAACTTTTGAATCTTGTGATTTTAAATCAGTCATTAATATTTTTGTGACTGTAAATTATGTCATTAAGAATAAATAAAAAAATTATACTCAAAATTATTCCTAATTATAGAAAGGTATAAATATGTGATTCGTTTTTGAACGGAAAAGTTTTTTTTGAAAAAATAAAGCAAAAATTTTGTTTCAAATTTAAATTCTTACTATTGATTTTTTTTTTTGATCAAAATTCATTTCTTGGACTCTTAGACATTAAGCGAGATTGAAATTTTGGAACGAATGGAGTATGTGAGGGGGGAAAACTGACGTTTCAATGAGGTGGCATAAAGATGGTTAAAATTAAATAATTTTTAATTCAACTTAGTAACTTTACAATGTGATATAAATTATTTCAAAATACAGTATTTGAGCGAGACAATGAATTTTCACGGTATTTTGTTTATTAATTTCTAATATATCTGTTTTGTTTCCTTAATGGTATTAAAACAGATCTTGACATACTTGGAGGTTTTATTTAGTTTTCAAAGGTTAATGTCCATTTAAGTTGAATATACATATAAGTCTCTATGTTATATCTGTCTTTATGCAGGTAACAATAAAATATTAGTAGTTTTATTGGACAGTAACGTGGGTTTAGAATTATAATTTTTCAAATATTTATTTTTATTTCAAGCAATCTTTCCTGGTCTTTCTTGAATTTATAACAAGTGAATAATATAATAATGATGAGTTTTATACCAATTTTGAACAACGAACATTGTATTACTAATGCAGAATTTTAGAAAGGTATTATAATAACTTGTACATGCAATCAAATGAGCTACACTTAGTTTTTAGTTTAGACAACAACACAATGTATTAACAGCAAGCAAATTAATAAGTAGAAGACAAAAACTGCCACTAAATTTAAATCGTTGGGCCCGTGCTAAAAAATCATCTAGTAATCACATAAATGGCATCAAACATAGCCGCCATTTAGGATGCTAATTCTTTAGAAAGCAAGGAGAGCGCTATAAATTTCAAATTCAATATCAATTAAGAAATAAGATGCTACACTAAATTTTGGGCAGGCATATCAATTAAATACAAAGTAAGAAAATGACAGAAAGCCTAAATCGAGTGGCTACTAAAATTTAGAACAAAAAAAGGATCATGATTTTAGTTCATTCCTCTTTTGAGAAGGCAGCTTCTTGCAAGGTAGGTTTCATGGACTTATTTCTCCTTTTTATACTCCGTGAAAATAATGGAGAAACTTTATAAAATTTTGAAACTACCCTCTCCAAATCGACACGTGCGTGGCACATGTATACTAGACTTACAGTATACAGTGTAATTAAAGAAATATCAAAATTGCTAAAATAAAATTTTGAATAATAATAATACATAATAAAGAACAGATTTTGTGAATGATAGATATGGAACATCATATGCTAACTTGTTTGTGGAAGTCAAAATGAATAATATTAAGAAAATCACACAAAACAAATAAGATATATAATTAAAGAGTAAATTGATTAGCAAGCTATCATTTTATTTTTCTATAGATTAAATAAATAGAAAATTTTACTTTTTGCCCGCCTGAAGAAAAAAAAACGCCTTTCAGTTAGCTAACTCTATTTGTATATTTAAGAATAAAAAATAAATCGACCTTCAAACAAAATCAAAAGACTTTTTAATCATAAAACGGTTACACGTTATTGCTAAAACTATAAAGTAAGCATAAAAATTTGTGAAACTGAGTAATAAAATTACAAAACTTGAACAAAATTTATGTTTTGAATATAATATTGGACTATTGACTTCTAAAGTAGAGTTTCTTCCTTCAATTGAGTTGGATAAATAGAATAGACAATTATTATTTTTGTACTTACACTTTTGTCTTCACTTCTATACTATGAATCAAACACAAATTTTAATATAATATTTATATTATTTAAAGTTTACACTTATAAAGACAGAATGCACACGCGCAATGCGCGTGCCGAGAGACTAGATAAATATATTTCAGTCAAAAGCCAATAGTTACTGATCCTCTTAACATAATTTAGTCTCATTTTAGGGCTTCAGACTAAATCAAAATTTTCACTCAGATCACCCACAAAAATTCAAAACAACCCATAACTATATTCACATCAAAATACAACTCCAATTTTCAAATAGAAAAAAGTTTTCCACTTTTTTTTTTTTGGAATTTTACTAGAGGTTTTGACACAGTTACCTACAAAAATAAAACTATTTACCCTTGTTTACTCATTTGTTTTTCTACCCATAAACTAATTATATTTCCTACCCATAGTAGTTTTTGTGGGGAATTTTTTCTTTATTCTCCAATTCTTTTATTTCTATGCTTCTTTTCTTCTTCTTTTTTCTTTTCTCCTTTTCTTTTTTCTCATTTTCTTCTTATTTTTTTCTTTTTTCCTTTTCTAATTTCATTTAACTTCTTTTGTTTATATTCTTTTTCTCTTCATAATCTAATTTCATTTACTATTATCACTATTTTTTATTATTCTTTTTTTTATATTATTACTAAAGAAAAATTAAATTGTGTACCAATTAAATGTAGCTAATACAACCAAAAAATATTAACTAATATATAATACCAGTATAGTATATAGCTATACCAACAGGGTATACAATTGTATGCAAATAGTTAAAAAAAATTTAATTCAATTATTAAACTGAAATAATATCAGATGTCAATAAAAATTTCAAAAAAATTCTAAAAGGATTTAATTGTAAGAGTATACCGTCACACTATATAACATACTATAATTTTTTTTTTTTTTTTTTTTTTTTTGCATTTCAATTTGCCCCTCACGCTGGGAAAAGCTTAAAGCAAATTAAAAGGGAAAAAGCAAGTGAATTTACGGGTAATAAGTATACTATTATAGTATATTGTATACTATTACTGCATATTGCTACTGTATATTGCATATTATTACAGTATACTATAACAATATATTGTATACTATAATAGTATACTGTTGCAGTATAACTATATACTCCTATAGTGCATTGTATACTGTAGCGGTATATTATTAGGTAACTGTGTTCTTCTTCGGTTATTACAATATATCGTTGCAGTATATTGTAAACTATAATAGTATACTGTTGCAGTATAGCTATATACTCCAACAGCATATTGTATACCGTAGCAGTATACTATTGGGTAGTTGCGTTCTTTTTCGATTTTCAGCTGAAATTTCCAACTCAATCACCATAAATCAGCTCCAAATGCTATCAAATTTCAGTATGAACTTCCATAAGGTATTATAAGCAATATTTAACAGCACCCACTTTGAATCAAACAAGAAATCTTTAAAATAAAAATTTTAAACCAAGGCAAGAGCAAGAGCTAGGGAAAGAACAATCAACAAAAAGTGGAGCAGAATTCCTCTGCTTCTTTTAAAGGAGCAGAGAAATTTGGGTGAAGACCCAAGATTAAAGAAGGCTTGGTCTTATTTTTGGTAACTACAGATCCTTGAATTATTTTCTTGTTTGCTACTTCTTGACTTACTTGTAATTTGTTATGATATTCTCTGTACCTATGAAGATTTCCCCCATCACGACCCCTCTAATGGCTCCTACTCTGATCCTTCCGCTGCTAACAATTCTGCTAAGGTACGACTATGTTTTTTTTTACTTTCGCCAGGTGGATTAATTTATGTAAT